AAAAAAAAAAAAAAAAAGAGCTTTGCACAGGTGATGTGTGCTGCTTCTCAATCCAAGAATATAATTCCCAATCATACCTCCTATACCTGTGTGCTCTGAGCTGTTCAACCCTTAGCCCCAGTCACTGGAGCACAGCCATACCAATCAATGCTCTGAAGTCAAAGAGCACCAGGTCCTGTCCTGGTCCCCTCCACCCTCTCTTTCCTCAGGAAATAGACTGGGATAAAGGCAATTGCATAAGTCCCTTCCCCATGATCATCTGGAAGAACTGCTAGTCACTACTAAGTCCAGAAAAGGACAGAAGTTTATGTGAATACAAACCTCCCATTTTACCTATGAGAAAGGAAACACACATACACAATGATGGATACAGAAAAGAAAGAAAAGACCCAGAGCTCTATGGTCCTCTCAGACATAGAGCACCCAGGCTGTCAGTAAATCCTAAGGTACATGACTTCCTCTTGTATCAATCCTGGATCTAACCTAAACTTAAAAATGCTTCCAACCACCACTGAACTGGTGGTTGATTTTTATTTTTTTTATTATTATTATTATTATTTTTTTTTTATTATTATTTTTTGAGACAGAGTCTCACTATGTGGCCCTGGGTAGAGAGGCATGGCATTACAGCTCACAGCAAGCTCAAACTCTTAGGCTTAAGCGATTCTCTTGCCTCAGCCTCTCAAGTAGCTGGGAGTACAGGCACCTGCCCGGCTATTTTTTGGTTGCAATTGTCATTGTTTAGCAGGCCCGGGCCAGGCTCAAACCCGCCTTAGTGCATGTGGCTGGTGCCCTACTCACTGAGCTATAGGCACTGAGCCATGGTAGTTGATTTTTAGTTCTAGCTTTTGGTAGATTCTCTCCTAGCACTTGGCTCTTTGCTCTCTACCAGCCTTTCCTCACCCCATCCCCCAATTGTGGTAAAATACATATAACATGAAAGTTGCCATCATTAGCATTATAAAGTGTATAATTCAGTGACATTAAGTACATTTACACTATTGTGCAACTATTCATCTCCAAAACTTTTTGAGCTTCCTAAACTCTATACCCATTAAACAACTCTCTATTCTCCCCTCCTCCCAGCCCCTAGAAAGTCCCATTCCACTTTCTGCCTCTATGAATTTGACTCCTTTGGATACTTCATGTAAGTTGAATCATGCCATATTTACTCTGTTGTGTTTTATTTTACTTAGCATAATGCTTTCAAGGCTCACCCATGTTGTAGCATGTGTCAGAATTTTCCTCTTTTTTTTTTTTAAGAGACAGAGTCTCATTTTGTTGCCCTGGGTAGAGTGCCATGGTGTCACAGCTCACAGCAACCTCCAGCTCTTGGGCTTAGGTGATTCTCTTGCCTCAGCCTCCTGAGTAGCTGGTACTACAGGTGCCCACCACAATGCCCAGCTGTTTTTTTGTTGTTGCAGTTTGGCCAAGGCCGAGTTTAAACCCATCACCCTTGGTATATGGGGCTGGCACCCTACTCACAGAGCCACAGGTGCTGCCCCAGTATTTTGCTCCTTTAAAAAAAAAAAAAATACATGGCTCGGCGCCTATAGCTCAACCGGCTAAGGCGCCAGCCACGTACACCTAAGGTGGCGGGTTCGAATCCCCAGCCCGGACCTGCCAAACAACAATGACAGCTGCAACCAAAAAATAGCCGGGCGTTGTGGCGGGCGCCTGTGGTCCCAGCTACTTGGGAGGCGGAGGCAGGAGACTCGCTTGAGCCCAGGAGTTGGAGGTTGCTGTGAGCTGTAATGCCATGGCACTCTACCCAGGGGGACAGCTTGAGGCTCTGTCTCAAAAAAAAAAAAAAAAAAGAATTAAAAAAAATACATTATGACATTGAAAGCAATGCCTCCTTTTAAGGCTAAACAACATTCCACTATTACATATATACCACATTTTATTTATTAATTTTTCAATGGACACCTGAGTAGCCTCCACCTTTTGGCTATTATAAATAGTGCAGTTAAGAACCTGGCACTCTCTCCGACAAAGGTTTAATAACCAGAATCCATAGGGAACTCAAATGTATTAGCAAGAAAAAAACAAGTGATCCAATCTCAGGGTGGGCAAGGGACTTGAAAAGAAACTTCTGTAAAGAAGATAGGCGCATGGCCTACAGATATATGAAAAAATGCTCACCATCCTTAATGATCAGAGAAATGCAAATCAAAACTACTTTGAGATATCACCTAACTCCAGTAAGATTAGCCCATATCACAAAATCCCAAAACCAGAGATGTTGGTGTGGATGTGGAGAAAAGGGAACACTTCTACACTGCTGGTGGGAATGCAGACTAATTCGTTCCTTTTGGAAAAACATCTGGAGAACACTCAGATGACCTGCCATTTGATCCTACAATTCCTTTGTTAGGTATATATCCAGAAGACCAAAAATCACATTACAACAAAGATATTTGTGTTAGAATGTTTATTGCAGCCCAATTCGTAATTGCTAGGTCATGGAAAAAGCTCAAGTGCCCATCGATCCATAAACTGTGGTATATGTACACTGTGGAATATTATGCAGCCCTAAAGAAAAATGCAGACTTTACCTCCTTCATGTTTACATGGATGGAGCTGGAAAATGTTCTTCTTAGTAAAGTATCTCAAGAATGGAAAAAAAAGTATCCAATGTACACAGCCCTAAATTGAAACTAATTTATTGTTTTCATAGGAAGCTATAAACTAATTTATAGCTTTCATAGGAATTAGCTTATTAATTTGAAACTAATTTATAGCTTTCATAGGAAAGATATAACCTAATTATAGCCTTAGAATATGGGGGGGGGAGGGTGAGGGAAGGGGTAGGGGATGGGTGGGTGGAAGGAGGGTGATTGGTGGGGTCACCTCTATGGTTTATCTTAAAAGGATACAGTGAATCTTTCTAAAAGCAGAGTATGAATGTCTTAATAACAAAGAAAATGACATGAAGGCTACATTAACCAGTTTGATGAGAGTATTTAGAATTGTATATGAAAACACCACACTGTACCCTGTGATTACATTAATGTACACAGCTATGATTTAATTGAAAAAAAAAAAAAGAACCTGGCACTCTGGGAGGCCGAGGTGGGTGGATTGCCTGAGCTCATAGGTTCGAGACCAGCCTGAGCCACAGTGAGACCCCAGCTTTAAAAATAGCTAGGCATTGTGGCAGGCACCTATAGACCCAGCTACCTGGGAGACTAAGCCCAAGAGTTTGAGGTTGCTGTGAGCTGTGACACCATGGCACTCTACCAAGGGCAACAAAGTAAGATTCTTGTCTCAAAAAAGAAGAAGAAGAAGAACCCGGGCACGCAAGTATCTGTTCAAGTCTCTATTTTCAGTGCTCTTATAGTCCTCACTCTGATTTTCTCCACAATAGTCCAGATTCCAACCTCAGACACAAATTCTCTAGACCAGTTTCTATTCCACTAGGCAAAGAAACAATTCCAGGTTGGGTTTTCAGGTAACATCCACAGGAGATGTTCTAGAGTAGGGTGAGCCAGAGTTGAGTTGATCAACTCTGGATTACCCAGCTTTTGGGTAATCCAGGAGCTGGTTTCTAGCCCCTCCTAATGGAGGGTGAATTAGAAACAATGTGGCAAGAAGCAAAGGAGGGTGGGATGTCCCCTCTGCCACTGCGGAGGAGAAACATACCACAGCATGGAGGAGAAAAGCAGGACAAGAGAGGCCTCTGTTCCCCAAAGGGCAGGCATGCCGCCAGAGATGGCCCCAAGGGCTCCAAAGGGCAGGCGGGGTTGCAGGAGCAGAGGTTACAGAAAGGGAGAGGGCGCTGAGACTGGTGCTATTTAGAAAACCTCAGTTAGTGGGATCCATGGCAGGGTTGTAGGAATCTGGAATGTTCTAATTTGACAGATGGCCAAATCCTGAAGCAGAAGAAGCACAAAAGTACAAACTTGAAAGGCTAAGGGGCAAATGATGCACCATGGGTCTATAACCTTGGCCTTCAGAGCTATGTGCACTCATGCTTTGGGAGGAGGGTCAGCAGACTACAGGTGGGGCAAAGGCAGGATCTGGGAACCTGAGAATCCCTCTCACCATCTGCTGTAAGCGACTTTTAACTGGTTACGTGATATTTTTTGGTGCCAAAGTGTCTAGGTTCAGGTATTAAATGATGACATCAAGGAAGGGTGCAGCCACTGAGGAGAAAATAAATTGCTTCTATGTAACTCTGTACATCTTTAAAGTATTATAAAGATGAACTAAATATACCTCCTAAATGCTACAACCAACATATGGACTTATGGCTCTTACTCTAGCCCAGACCAAACTCTGATAGTGCCTGTCTTCTATCAGTCAACGAGAGCTGTCAGAGGGAAACAGCTTGTAGGGACCTCCCCCTTGGTGACCCCAACCCAAGGAGCTGCCCTAATTTGATAAAGATGCTCCTGAAACAACCCTCCCAATCAAATTGTGGCTCTCAGGAAGATCCTGGAGGCAAGAAGTCCCCTCAGCCCCAGAGACTGCCTTGGTCTAAGCCCATGTTCCTGGACTGCTCTGGGATCCCGAGTCTGTGAGGTCAGCCTGGACTTGGCCACATGACCTGGATCAAGGTGCTAAGGAACCTGTCACCTCAGCTTTTTACAAACACAGGAGCCAGAGCCAAAGATGACCCGATGTCTCTACATCCTTGGGATGCAATGTACCCACCAGTACCTCCCCTGTACAGTGGGGCTCCAAGGTAACTGAGGGTCATGTATCACACAGGTATGGGAGTTTGAGCACTCAGGACTCCAGTCTCCACCCTGTACCTCAGTACTGACCAGACTTACAGAAGAGCCCATCCACACTGAGATCCCAGAGGAGACTGAAGGCTACCACAGAAGTTTCTGGAGGCCATGTCAACAGCTAGAAGGAGAAAAAGGTTAAATGGGTCATTCCCATAGAGTAATAACAGCAAACTTCTATTATTTCATAGTAAACAAATCCATCTCATTTAATCCTCACAAGTCTACATGGTAGGAAGATACTATATGATCGTCATTTTATATATGAGGAAATCAGAGAGGTCAAGCAACTCTCCCAGGGTCACACAGCCAATAAGCAGCAAGTCTGTGTCACTTGAAACCTATTCCCACCTTCCTGTGTAGGAGTCTTGGTCCTTTTGCCCCTCACCTTTTTGTGTTCACAGCCATGCCCCTCCAGGCCAATGTCCAGCATAGGGAAGAGAAGGGGTTTTCAGGCACTGAATATGGTCAGCTAGACAATGACAGCGGCAGCCCTCTCTGTGACCATCGAATCACTACTAGGTCAACACCCTTAACCTTTCATCTGAGAGCACTGGCTTGGAATGTCCTTGGTACTGAGCACAGGTCCTCAAACAATGCTTGAGAGGGGAATCACCCACCTGACTCAAACTTATTAGGGTCTTCATTTGAATGCTCTTTGAGTCTGAGGGTCATAAGTTGGGGATTTGGAACATGGAAATGAGCAATGGGACAGGAGCTGCCACAAGTCCATCTGGTCTGACAACACTCAGAGGTAGGGATCCGCTGTGGCTGGCCATGTTTGCCCATTATACCACTTCTCCCAAGAACTCTGAGAAAAGCCTACTGTGGTGGGCACTGTGGACATGCCCGCTTTCAGGAACGAGGCTCTTGTTCCCCCAGGGGCTAAGCACTGCTGCTGCCATGGAGATACCCCTGAGCCTGACACTTTAGAGAGGGAATACCTGACCCAAGTTCATATCCCTCAACAAGTGCAACGTGCACCTGACAACTGGCTGGTGCTGGGTCTAAGGCCTAGACCCCTTGCCTAAAATGGAACAACTCTAAAAGGCCACAGGGTTGCAGAACCCCAGGGGACTTTCTGGGGCATACAGCTCTCCCTCCCTAACCTGTGGCTCTTGACAGCACTCCTCAGAAAATCTGCATGGAAATAACCAGCTCAGGGTCTAGAACTATGCCTTTCTCCTTCTTTTGGAATTTCTCATAGTTGAATGCTTGAATATCATTATGTACAGTTGGTCACTGGGAGTCACAAAGGGCCCATCTGAGACAGTGCCCACAAATATTGAAATAAAATTCAACATTTAATAGTTGAATGCTTGAATATATCCTAACTAGAACATAAATTCACTGAGGACATGCTACTAGCTTTAATCCATCCACTCCAGTAAGGCTCACCCACAGGTATACACAAGGGCTCCAGAACAAGACACATAGTCTTCAGCACTGAGGCTGAAACCTGTCCAGCCAATGCCCAAGTGCCCACTGTATACCCCACTGAAGCCCCTGGGAGAGGAGAGAAGAGCAGGCAGCAGGACCAAGTCCCTAAGAGAACTCTGGTTATCCTTTCAAAGAAAGCCAAATGAGCAGAGTTGGTGAGGTCTGCCCTCCTTACCCACCCCTGGCTCTCAGAATGGGCTACAGGTACATGTATACCCCTGGCAGGCCTGGGTCTCTGATTAGATTAACTCCTCTTAGCCCAACCAGATTCTCCTTCCTGGGGAATCAGATGTGGGAGTAGGATCTGGTTGTACTTTACATAAAGCCTGGGGAGGGGAGAGAAGCAGAGGCCTGTCTTAGGATCCCAGCTCTTCCTGAGGCCCAGCACAGCCTTGCCCTGGCATCCCAAGAACAACTCTTGCACCTTTATATGAATCCCTCTGAAGGATCAGACAGCCCCCCCTTGGATTTCTGCCTCCGCCAACCACAGTCCTTCATGAGGTTCTGTGACACACTGAGTATACTGCCCAGGAGGCTCCCAAAGCTAAATGCACCCCTTTCACAGACCTGGCTTCAGTCATGGGGCAGGGGTATGCTTTTGTTTCTCCTTCCTGCAAGTGTGAATCAGAAGCTCTACCTTAATATCATTCCTCATAGCTGATGGCCAGATCCTGAGCAGAGCTGTGGCGGACTATAAAGACAAGGTGGTTCACAGGATCTATCCATTTAACCTCCACATGGACTATGGGCCCTGGCATTCTGAGGCTCAAAGCTGATGCTGAGCAACTCACCCCAGGTGACACAGAGGCCAGTGACAGGACTAGAATGCATGCCTAGTCTGTCTGACCCCTAGTCTTCCTCCTGTCCTCTATGTGCCCCCACCCCCAGCATGACAGAGGTGGAAGAAGAGCTTGGAAGGGCTTGTCTGTGGCTCCCAGAACTGGGGTCTCAGAACCTTGTGGAGATGGACGTACCAACAGGGAAAGGCACTTCACGCTGTATCAGGGTTGCACAAGGACCCTCTGTGGGCACTGTCTCAGATGGGCTCTTTGTGACTCCTAATGTCCAATTGTACATTTTGTCATACACTGTGCAAGGAGCAGAGAGAGGCCGTGCTGACCAGGGCACAGAAGAATGGCCCCACTGTTCCTCTTACCACTGTTTCTTCTGGGCCTGAGGGGTGGGTGGCAACAGCTACACATAAAGGCCCCAAGAGCCAATGTGTTTTTTTTCTTCTAGGGCAGGGACCATCGAAGTGAAAACCCAGAGGAAGAAGAAAGACCTAGAGGGCTCCTTCTGGACTGAGGCCAGCCTGCTGAGGCGGAGGAGTTTCTTGAATAATCCACCCTGCATGGTAGCTCTGATTTACAGCTGGGTCCAGGCTCCAACTGGTAGGAACGGGACCAGCTGGAATGTGAGACCCTCCTGTCCCAAGACAGTGATGGTCCTATACAGTGGCCAAGGCCAGGTTGACATCCTCACAACTGTGGTATATTCAGATTACAGCATGTGGGCTGTGCCTGCTGGCTTCCCATGGTCTTTCTCAGTGCAAAGGTTTTGAGTCCTGCAGAAAGCATGTCCCTCAACACAAAATGTTCTAACAGCAATTCAGGGGGAAATGGAGTGGTGTGGACATAGCTGTTCTAGGTTTTTCCAGCTAACCTTCGCAATAGCAAAGAGGAAAGCAAATGCTCAAACACCCAAATATCCTCAGCTCCAAAATCTCAAGGGCCCCTACACTTCGAGGGGTGCTGCAGAGCTGCAGGGGGCCCTGATGTTGAGCTTTGACACAAAAGAAGCACTTGTTAAGTGGCACAGACTGATCACTGACAGGCTAGATCTTAAGTCCACTTGGAACACTGGGCCCCTCAGGAAAGCTGATCTAGGGCCCAGCAGCACCCTGAGATGCACATCCCAAAGTTGAGAGCCAGCGGCCCCAAGGGGGTTGCCAGCTTTCTGGGACCACAGGTGAGTCCCTGCCCCTCCTTGACCTTGGCACCCTTAGCATTGGTGAGAATGAATGCCCATTCTGCTTTCCTTCCCCCTCTCCCACTGAGCCCAGCCTAGCAGCACCTAAGGCAAGGAAAGGTTAAGTGTCTAGGGATTCCAGGTTGCAACATTCCTGCCACCTAGTGGCATGTCTATGGTTACCTGGAACAGCCACTGAAGCAGGGGAACTGGGCAATCAGGCACGTGCAGGTAGAGGGTGCTCAGGAGGCCATTGTGCAGGAAGGACAGCTGCTGGGCCAGCGGGGAGCTGCAGACAAAAGAGTGGGGTTAGGGCACACTTGCCTCAGTGACACCTTGGGAGACCATTGCCAGGATGCTGGGAAGCACATCCCTGATGCTACAGCCCAATGTGCTTTCCAAGGCCTGGAGGTGAGGAGCTTGGACGGAAAAGCAGCCCATGCCATCACCAGAATCATCTGCTCTTCTCAAGTGCTTTTCATGAATATATTTCTCAGTGTTTAAAACAGAGGATTGGGGGGCAATTTTATCCTTCCCATTTGACAGAAGGGGAGATCGAGGTACTCCCCAAGGATGTGAACAGGATTTGGCAAGGTGAGGAGGGAGCCCAGGAATCAGGTCTCAGACTTGGGCTCCAGGCTCTGAGGGGCAGCCAGGATTACCCTCAGCCACAGCCAGAGCCCGGGAGTCTGGTTACACAGGGCCTTTCTGCCCACCTTGTGCTTTTCTAACACAAAGGGGACACGTGAGAAGCGAGGAGAATAATAGAAAGGGGCCCAGGATAGGGAAATCCTGGAAAGGAAATATCAAACAAGGGTTCCATAGAGGATTCTTTGGAAACCACGAGAGCAGCAACTGTCCCAGAGTCAGGGGAAAAGGCACTCAGATTGGCCCTATGTCTGTGGTCTTGACTTTGTGCTATGCCATCCCATACGGTCTCTACTTTCTAACAGGAGTTCTCAAAACCAGACTACTGGCATGAAAGGAGCCCTGCCTTGAGTATGCTGCTGCCTTACAGATCACCTTGTCCTACAAGATCCCAGATCTCTCCATTTTATGTTGAAATATTTTATGTGGTTATAGGGCTAGTGGTGGAAGGTGCTTCAGAAGTCATTTTAATGAAAGATCAGCTGGACTTTGTCACCCTTCCTGAACTCCCAGTCATTCCCAGAGAGACTGGATTTGGGGTAGGATTCTCCTACTCCCTGTGCATTTTGTGACTGCTCCTTTACATGCCCTCTCTTTAGATGATGTCTCAATGACAATTAACATGGACTTTAGGAAATAAAACAGTAATATGTTTTTGTTCTTATTTTTAATGACCTAAATTCATGAAAAGAACATTTCAGATAGTATTTAATGTTATGACCCTAGATAAAAACTTCCCTGGTCAACCCAACCTCCTCCTTTTCCTTCTTTTTTGGAAAGGACGTTATACTTTAACCTGCTAGAAACAGAATGCTACAAAACAAAGATTCTCCTCCGAGCCAAGCTGTTGTCTCCCAGAGTACGTCCAGGCAATTTACAAATTGCGTGTTTTTTTTCCCAAGTCATTTAAGTTCAGAAGAGAAAGCAGCTTTGTTCTCATGGCTGTGAAGTTGACCACTCTGAAATAGACCTTTACTTGTACAAACAAACGTGTGCAACCCAGGGCTGCTGGCACACCACTCTGCTCTACTCCATATGCCTGGTCACATGGAGACTTTCATAGGCTGACCCCCAAGATGCATGGTTCAAGTATACACACAGCACCCCAAATGCAGATAATACCCAAGCAAACCTTGCAGATTGGCAGAACCCCAAAGAGGCCATGTGGTGAGGATGCTGGCACTTCACTCTGAGGAGACTATGGCTCTGACATTTCCCTGGGGGTACACCCTGCCAGTTTCCCAGGTGAGAATTGATTGTACAAGCCACTGTTGGCTTAGATCAACACATTTCTAACTATTGCTCTAAGGGGGGGAGATCCTACAGGTTGCGACATCTCCCTTCTGCTCTGCTGGGCTTGCTGTGCAGTTTCTGCCAGAGAAATGAATGCTCAGTGGGCCTTTAAGTTCACTGCTGCTGAGTTGGGTTTCTTCTTTGAGACTAAGAGCAAAAGAGCAAGAAAGAACACAGTCATGCTCTGCTCTGGCTTTCAAGGAATTCTGTGTTTAGGGTTAGATGAGATGCGAGGATTTCCTTTGCAGGCTGGGTGCATGCTTGGCAGGAGGTGAGTGCTACGTCCCTTTGGCTCAGCCATAAAACCTTCTATGCCATTCACAATGGCCCAAAGTGACCTCAATCTTGGCTGCAGGGCAGGGAACAGGTCTCGTGTGCATACATTCCCTTGACTCTGGGGCAGGAAAGAGGGTCCCTCACCCACACACCCAGTTAGGGAAACTTGGAGGAAAAGGGAACCAGAGGGTAGGATGGGTGGGGGGAGGCGTGTACAGTAAATGTTAAAAATCCTTAGGTGATAGGCTCAGCTGTTGTCAGGGTCACATCCTCACATCAAGAATGCTGATGCTGGCTTGGCACCCGTACACAGTGGTTATGCCTCCACATACACGGAGACTGGTGGGTTTGAACCCAGCCTGGGCCTGCTAAAACAATAATGACAACGGCAACAAAAAAAATAGCCAGGAGTTGTGGTGGGCACCTATAGTCCCAGCTGAGGGAGGCTGAGGCAAGAGAATCACTTAAGCCCAAGAGTCTGAGGTTGCTATGAGCTGTGACGCCACGGCACTTTACTAAGGGTGACAGAGCAAGACTCTGTCTCAAAAGAAAAAGAATACTGACACTGTGTTCATGTGGGCGCCTCTGTCTATAGCCAAGCCAAGGCTGAGGTTAGAAGTTAGAGGACCCTGGCGGGAAAAAGGGAGGAACAGAGCCTCTCTGGGCGTAGATGCCACTCAAGCCTGGCTGAGTGCAAACCTCCCAGTTGTCAGGCCTGAGAATACCAGCAAAGGGAGGTTCTGACTAGGGCCCTCAGCTGTGAAGGGGAATGAGAGAGGCACAAGGCACAGTCACAATCAGAACACTGCTAATCCCCAGCCATGACAGCAATGACAGCAAGCAGGTGTCTGCTTCCACTCTCACTGCCCATTGGAACAGAAGGAAGGAAGAGGAGGAAATGAGCCAAAAGGAGGAAATACACAAAACAAGTTGACAATAAATGGGGCTGGCGTGGTTCAGCAGGTTGGACTTCTGGAGCAGAGCTCTGACCTTCTTCTTGGAATTCCTGTCAAAGAAAGATTCTTTCAGCCTCTACCTCCTCATCTATTTTATGGGCAGCAGTTCCAGAAGGCAAAGTCTTTAAATGCCTGGGAATCCCAAGTGATGGTGGAAGGATAAACACCAAGTGTAGTTATTTATACAGTATCAGTTTCTGGGCCTTTGCCAAGTTACTCAGGCTGAAACGCTAAATAACATATAGCTCAATACAATAGAAACAAATAATAGTTGTAGCTTTTATCTGTGCCCCTTTTCTCTTTCTTTCCACTGTTTAAAGGTAAGTGTGTACCAGTGTGGTCAGAAGCCCAGAGGTCTCAGCAGCAGCCCTGCGCACCTTCTCTGCTTGCTCTCTACTGTTAGGGGCAGATGAGCCAGATGAACAGCTCACCACTGTCCTGCTGGATTTATTTCAGCTGAGCCTCAAGCCTGGAATATTTCTTTAGAAAGAGGAGCTTGTCGCGAAACAAGACTGCAGCTGCCTGGCCTCTGGAGATGTGAAGCTTAGCCTCACTTGCTGTCTCCTCTGCTCTGCCTGCTATAGGGTCATGGGGGACACCAGAGCACTGGGCTTCCAAAGAGCCCACCCATCCTCACACCAACTGTGGCAAATGCACCCAGAGGATACCCTGATACCCTTGCAAACACTTCAAGTAGGCCTTCGAATAATTCAGCAAGGCAGGCCACCACTACCCCTCTGAGAAAGCTTGCTTCTGCCGCTCAGCTCTATGTGGGCTTCTGTCCTGATGCTACTCTACTCAGGAGGTTTGGATTTCCTTTTGAAATGCTGTCAAGGGAGAAGGAAAAAGTTCAGCTCCTGGAATTGGCTGGTACCAACTTCTGTCACAAAGGCATATGGCTTTGGTCCCAGGAACTGATCCCAGGTCACACTTTAGAGTCATCTAGGCCATCTGTGATTGCATAGTTGGGGCCCAGGGTGGGGGCATTCTTACACAGAGAGGCCACAGGGGCTCAGATGCCAGGTCGGCTTATACTTGCTCTGTGATCTGAAACAAACTGCTTACTTAATTTGTGCTGACATTTCCTATTCTGTTCAGATGGAAGAAAAATCTTTCCCCCCTTCACGGAAGGATAGGAGAGGTAAATCTATTTCAAGAGGTGATTTCTGAAAAATAGTCTTCAGGGTGGCGCCTGTGGCTCAGTGGGTAGGGAGCTGGCCCCATATACCGAAGGTGGCAGGTTCGAACCCGGCCCCAGCCAGCTAACACAGCAATGAGAATTGCAACAAAAAATAGCCGAGAGTTGTGGAGGACACCTGTAGTCCAAGCTACTTGGGAAGCTGAGGCAAGAGAATCACTTACACCCAAGAGTTAGAGGTTGCTGTGAGCTGTGAC